AGTTCTAATGTGGCTACCAGCGAGTTTTACTGTAGCAGTCGGCGACTTCAGTTGTACTGTGACAGCCGCCGAGTTATAACGTGGCCATCGCCGAAGATAGTTCCGAGCAAGCTTACGAGAGCGTGTTATCAACAGTTCTCCAGTCAGCGGACTATAGTTGGAGTATAGCAGCCGTCGCGGTAAGAAGATCCGGACGTGTGTGCGATTGTGTAATTGGGAGCGTGTGATACAGTGATACCTAGCTCCCCTACTGTAAACGTGTAGACTACTGAAGACAGAGTGAGCTGATTTGCGCGTAGGGTTATAAGTCGTGAAACTCCGCAACAGTGTTAACAGATTAATGCGCTTAGGGTTATAAAGTGTGAAACCCCGCAACTGTGAGATAATTAATTGTAGCCGTTATTTGTAGATCGTTAAATAAACCAATTAACCATCTCTACGGCGTCTTCAGTAACGTGAACACGTTACAGTATATTCTAAATATTCTTAGCAGTTGATTCCCCCTTAGTTTAAATAAAATTAAAATTATGTATAGAATTTCTTCTGTTGGTCATGTTGAACTTTCCACCATCAATATGACTACATTTTGGCTTATAGTTGTTATCTTGATCCTAATTGTTGTATATATGATACAGTTGTCACTGCTTGTGTTGTCTGTAATATGTTCATGTTTGATCATGTTTGGCTCCCAAGTTCATTAAATATTTTCTTCTTAGGATGGCTATGGAGCTAAGTATTTTGATGTCTTCTTATATTTTCTTGTTAAATTACTTTGTGTCCTTAATCACGTCCTTCCATGATCTGGCTGTGATTGTGTTGATGGATTTGTAGTCTTATTCAAGCTTATGCTAATGCATTTGCTTTCGTCACTTTTAAGTTCCAACAGTTAGAGTATTTCCATGAGTTCTAAATTTTAATAACATTTGAACCTATTAATATATTTAAATATACACTTTTAATATTTTAAAACTCCCAACAAGTTTTAAATACTAGTTTAATACATTCTTAAAGTAGCATAAAAACACAACCGTATAATCTGTGCATATAAAGGTGAATAATGAATAAGAAAGAATCACACTACATTTTTTTGTTTTATTGTAACTACAATGATTAGTACAATATACAAGTATATATATGGATCCATCTAAGAGGCACAATTCAGTAGTGTAAGGTTTGTTAATGTAGGTATCGCCCGATGATGGCTCCATGAGTTGAAACATGTTGCAAAGTCATACAACCAATAAACTCAGTTATGCACAGTGAAATGTGAGTGAGTTATTTGGTATATTTTTGTGTTTGACAGGAAGAATAAAACTCATATATAGTACTAACACAGAACAGGCTGTATCCCTTAAAGAACCCTTTGGCTGTTTACCAGAAAAAAATTATGAATCTTCCATGGTCTCCAAAATTATAAAAATGGGAACCTTAAAAATTTCCTGTAAACATTGACATTTCTTGTGCACAATGAAATCAGTTTAGAGGCTATTTCATGTGGCAGGTTGCTTGAAGGAGCTATGGGTGAACCACAAGCCAGCGGACTTCATGAACGCAGCACGGCAGCAGAAGGTGACTCCAGGCTGCTCCCTGTTGCAAGAAGAAGATGATGATGATGATGATGAGGAGCAGATGGAAGAAGATGAGGGGGGACCAGCAGCAGTTGTTGCAGCAGCACCTATGGCAGAGCAAGATAGCTGTGTGAACAATCAGTGTCAGCGAGGCAGCAAGTGCGTGCCCCGCTCCAGACCAAGGGAATACTCCTGTCGCTGTCGACCTGGTTGGGGGGGACGCTACTGTGAACAAGGTAAGGGAGTTGTTGCTTTCCTCTAGTGTACTCATGAGGTTTTGACAGATTTATTTTGCAGGTCAGTAAAAATGTTGGTCTGAAAATAAAGCTAACACACCAAACAGAGAACAGATTGTACAGTTCTGATGTCCTCATAAGTGTCTAACAGTGGTCATGTTTAAATTAGGCCGTTTAGTTTAGTGCAGGAACTCGTATCATCTGTCTGCTTTGCACATGCTGAAGATCAAGATATATAAAATAATAATTATGCCAGTTTCACTGTATATGTCTGAAACATGAAAGCTTACCCTGAGGAAAAAAATGCAAGTTCTGAAAACAAAATGAACAGAAAAATATGTGAACCTAAGATGGATGAGGTAAGTTTCAATGTTACAATATTTGATTCAGAACAGTTTCTCTTTCAATTGTTCATTTATGTAGTGATACCTAATGTCTATGTGCTTAGTCCTAAGCGTTACTTGTCCAGATTCTATTAGCTTGATTGCACTCTGATTGTCGACACACAGTTCAGCTTCCACCCTTTTTCCTGTCAACTCATCTATCAACGTCTTTAGATATTTCCATTCTTTACAGCACTCAGCTGCTGCAATATATTCGGCCTCAGTGGTTGATAATGCAACAATACTCTGTTTCCTAGAGCACCGTGATATTGGGCCCCCTGACATCATAATTACATATCCCGTTACACTCTTCCTATCCTTTACATCCCCTGCATAAACAGCATCACTAAATGCTTCCAGTTTCACAGTTTCGGAGTCAGATGAGGTATATTTTATTCCTGAATCTTGCATACATTTCACACACCTAAGGGTCCTTTTTACATTCTGAACAGCTATTTTGTCAGGATTTTCCAAGGTTCTACTTTCCACATTTACAGAGAATGCCATATCAGGTCTGGTTTAGAAGTCATATATAGCAGGCTTCCTACAGCTTCTCTGTAAGGAAATCTTGTGTCATTTTTGTCATTTTCTCCTTTGTCATTTGTTGGTGGGGTCGTGGCCGTGGGTGTTTTCATTTCTCGACTTTCTTGCATGTTGTATTTCTCCAACATCTTATTTTCTAACAGGTATATCTTACAAAAATGCATATAATCATCCACACATGTAAGGAAATATTTCTTATTGTCATAAGTGGTTCGGATCAATTGGTCGACACACGTCACTATGGATTATCTCTAATGGCTTTCCAGCCCTACTTCTTTCTGTATCAAATGGCCTGCATACAAACTGAACATATATCAAAATTTTTACACTTGCTCACACTTTCTGGTATCCCTTGGCATATCTCTTGTAGTTTACTAAGATTCGCATAACTTATGTGACCTAGCTTTCTATGCCACTCTACACTTATCTCTTGCTGAGTCTTCATAGCTTCATTCCTCATGCTAAAATTAATTACAAACAATCCTTTTTTCTTTCAATTACAACATTTTTGTCCTTGAGTATCTGGACTTTCTCTTTTGTAAACAACACTTCTCCATCGTTTTCTGTAATACAGTGAACTGACAGCAGGTTTTTGCTGAGTTCTGGAACATATGAAACCTTTTTCAAACTACACTCTTTAAATTCCAGATTGCCTATTTCTTTTGGAGTCATACTTTGATTTTTCTTTGCTACCTTTATACACTGAGTATATGCCTCAAATCAGTCTTCACATTTGTCATATGACATATGCTGCTACTATCCACAACATACATTTTGTCTTTTTTACTTGCATCACTCACGTGGGTTTCTGCTGCTTCAGCTAGAAAATTGACCTTGCTTCTTGTATTCCTATCTTTAAAATAACAGTCCTTTTCAGCATGGTTCGTTTTCTTACATACTCTACATTGTTTTCTCGTATCACTGTCCTTATTTCTAAAGTAGCAGTCCTTTTCAGAGTGATTATTCCTTTTACAGATAGAGCAATTTCTCTTACCTTTGTTGGGGGCAGTTGATCTGGGCATGACCTATTTGATTACAATTGAAACACTTGAAAGGGGTTTTACTTTTGGTTTTAGTTACTGTCTTAAAAGCTGTGCTTTCCTCTTCTTTAGTTGTTATCTTGCACTTCACTTCTTCCAACATCAATCTGGCCACCAGGTTGTCAAGGGTTCTGTCCACGGTCACCGATGAGTCCCAGGCAGTGCTGAAGTGTTTGTAGTCTTCTGGTAGAATTGTTGTTATTTTTGTCATGATCAATTTTCATCAACGTTTTGGTTCAGTTGACGAAGCTTGAAGGCAGTGTTCTGCACATGACTTATATTCGTCATCATATCCTTAGTTTTGTCATACTTGAAATGGTAGAAGTCTTGTAGCAGAAGAAACTTCTGTTGAGAGGTTGCTGATAAATTTGCTTCAAGGTGTCGTACATTTCTTTCGCGGTTGTGCATGTCACAGTGTGGGTCTTCACGTGTTTCTCTATTGTTCTCACTATGTAGTATTGGCACTTTGCATCTCGCATCTTCCATTTCCTTATATTTTCTTTGTTTCTGCCTTGGTCACTTAACAGGTCGCTGCCATCAACGATGTTTATCAGTTCTTTTGCACGCATCAGATTGTTGATTTCAAAATCCCACAGTGGAAATGAGTTGGTGTCCTTCAGTTTTGGCAAATGAGTTACCTCTGTTGTCTCTGTGGTTGCCATTTTTTCATTTTTCTTCTGTCTTCTCCTTTTTTTTTTTTTTTTGACCAAATCTGGGCCCATAACTTGTTGATTTTCTTTGTGCCATGCTTACATGTCACTTAACAGCCATATTTGGTGAGAAGAAACTTTTTATTATAATACAAAACAAAAAACAAATGAATATAGCAGTACAACGCACACAGTCACAAGAGAAAAACACAACACAGAGCACAATACACACATGAATGTAGGAAGAGTGCTCCAATAGAGGAGGATTGGCGTGACTCACGTATTTGAGATACGACGTATGGATGACGAATCCTGAAAGGTTTTAATATTTAGAATTTATTGTTATACATGACGAATACACATTTTAGTCATTTTATGATGGAGACATCATGGCATGCAGTGCAGTAGTTTGACATGGATAGAGACACACCTGAAGATGGCACATTAGTGCCGAAACATGTAGTGTAAAAGTGAAGAGAAAGGTGAAATTGTGTGCACTGTAAGATGGCTAGCATAGATACACATCATGAATATAGATCACTATTACCAACTTGAACATATTTACATTACTAAATTGTCAACAAATGTAACCAAACTGATCCAGTAGCAGGGATCTTTGTATAATGTGAACTTTTTAACTATAGTCTTTCATATATAGAATTTTTCCCACAATACCTAAGAGATGAAGTAAACATCATGGTAGGATACAACAGAAGCATTTACCCCTTAAAATAAAAAAAAATTCACAAACTCTTTTCATCTTAAAGACTATTTGTAAAAGGTCATAAATATTGTTTACTGTTAATAAATACAATGTTAGTTTTATCTGTACTCTGCACATTTGTAAATAAATGTTATAAAATGTATACACACCATGACAAAGCACATCACGGCTCAAATGCTTTTGTTTGACTAATGATATTGGAACTGTTAGTTTTGCTAGCATTTAATTTCAGTTATGGTGCATGCTGAACAGAATATATTGCAGGCAGCAACTAAACAATGAAGTTTTTTCTCATTCTTTTTTTTTCTGCCATTGAATTACTTTCTTGTATGCAACTTATATTTTTCTTGAAATCTAATATTTTCTGAACTAGCAATAATTGCGCTTACTTTCATGCCTCTTGGTGGAACCCTCAATCAAGAGATAAATGCTAAGTTGATTATGATGGTCTGGGCATATGGGATGGTTGCTGTACATGTGCCTGAAAGTAGCTGTGATAACAACATGACTATTTTTTCATTATCATATTATTTGTTTCCTTTTGTGTCTTTCTATTCTGCTAACTCCAGATGTGAGCTTCGGGTACCAAGGTATGTATAAAACATTTTTTGTTATGGGAAGGTAGTCTTCTCACTTAACTTTCCCCCAGATTAGGTCTATAGTGAATCATTTTTTGCACATGCTGTATGCAGCAGGAAATATATCCACTCATTTCACTTCATGTTCATGGGAAATGTATTTGCTGAATGAGCCATCCTGGCTCAACTACAGATGGCTTAAATGAGAAAATGTTTTGCCCTTAAATCATCTCCACACCTTGAAGTCGAAAGAAACAGGTGCTAGAGCAAAACTTTGAATTTGCATTCCTCAGTGTTATATATTTTTTTTGTTGTGGCCAAAAACCCATGAGGATAATGTTACATTGTAACCATTTTCAAGTTGCTTAAATTTACATTTTTACCAAATTTTAACTTTCTTTTCAAGATCCTGGTAAGAGAAATTCCCTACAGCCTGTGATGAAAAGTTCAAAGAAACAGTGGTGCTGTTCTGCTCATGTTCAGAGTTTCTTTGTAAAGTAGGCATATCTGTTCATGTGAATATTTCTGAACCTCACATAAGTGAGCTGAACCAATTACAGAATCACGCACATATTCAGGTTCACCATTATGCTTAGGGACCTGCAGCCATTTGTTTTGCTATCAAGTTGGCTGTTGACAGTATCTGCAACAGTTGTTGTGTGTAAACTTATGTATATCCATAAGTAATTTTGGTTGTCTGAAATGTAGGTAATAAAGCAAAACTGGAAACAGTTACAATAAATAATGAAATTAATACTGTAATGCAAGTTGATGCTCATACTGTAACATGTGTACATGATATGAGGACATGGGTACTGGCAGGTGAGGGAAAACTAGGCTTTTTCTCTCCCCCCCCCCCAATTTTTGTGGAAAAAATCAAAATTGAAAGCGTTTACTTCAGTGATTAGTAAAAACTGTCTAAAATGACATAAATGTAAATTTGTAAGAAAATATTCTGACTCCCTGTGGAGGGGACTTGGCAACATGCATGCTATTTCTTGTTTATATTGCTATTGTGTTCAGACACGCATATTTTAAATGGTTTGCCAAAGTTATGGTAAAAAATAATTCACATCTTTCTTTATGCTACATTATTTTCATTTCCTTAATTTTACAATTTCCTTGATTTCATGGTGTTTCTTTTGTGGTTTCTTTAAAAGTATAAAATTGAGGTTTTACTAAATTAGATGAATTCAGTACCATTAGCCAGTGGCTTTTCATCATACAGGCCTGAGCTTAATCTCAGTGCAGTTCATAATGGGTTTTGTGGTGTACAAAATGGTACTCTGGCAGGTTTTCTTCTTAGTGCAATGGATTTATTGGACCACAGCTGTGTTGCAGGTTTTCTTAGGTAGGCCTGTGTTTAATGTATATAATGTTTTAGCAGTCAGCTCTACTCTGTATTCAGATAATTGGTTGTCATTTTACAGACAGATTTTTTAAAACTATTTCAGCATACTTTCTTCATTTTTAAGGAAAGACAGCTAGTGGCATCATCATATCCATGTTTTCATATTTCCTGGCATGTCTGTGTCCTCCACTAATAACTTTTAAACCTATTGATAAATATCCACAACATATAGTATGAACATTACACCACCTCATGCCTGTGATAATCAGCTTCCTCTCATCATTGATAGTGTGGCATATTTGCTCAAAGCAAGAACTGTGGAGCCAGAGAAGCATCCATTGCTGGCGAACAGCTCTGAAAGCAGGTTACTAGGCAGCAGATTCTTAATAAGAGAAAACAGACGACCGCTGCTAGGGAACGGCTCAGTAAACACGTCCCCACAGCAACAGATACGAAAATGAATGATGTTATCTGTGTGGGCTATACCGAGAAGACAACTGGGGCAATTAAGTCAGTTTTGTACAGGAGTCTGGAGAAAAGAGTCAGTTGGAAGGAAGCTGACATTCAGAGAGGCACTGTAATTACTTTTCTTCTGAGTTGTGTGTATGAGTGGTCAATAAAGCCAATCCAAAAATATGTCTCTAAACCACATGAACGCCCAACAATACAAACATGGGAACAGGGCTTGTGCCACCTGCTGTATACTCCTGAAATTTAGTGTAGGAACAAGTCTTTTAAAAAGAGAAATGTAACTTAGTTAGTTAGTTATTGGAGAGGGTGGGTTTCCCCATGCACTTAGACCTGTATTGGTCCATTGTGCTTCCCTCTATGATATTCTACCAGTCTCTATATCCTACCGGTACTGGTGCTTACCATCAGTCCTGCCCAGCCAGCGAGACCGGCTCTACTAGCTGAGAGGTATCTATATAATTCTTCCCCCATCTACCAGAGGTATTAGAGACTGCTGTTGGGCGGGAAACGTCCGTAATTTTGCCTCAGTGACCTCCTTTGGAGATATGAGGTTTTTTTACATGCCGTAAAGCTACAACACGGGACCCACGGCTTAAAGTCCCTCCCAGAGGACTTGTTCCCTGAATTTTTCCACCCTTAAAAATTCGACGACCTCTGCCGGGTATTTGAACCCGCATACTACGAGTCATGAGGTGGGAACTTTACCTGTAGACTACGGAGGCCGCTGAAATGTAACTTTCTTAAGATAATTATTTGAACGATTTTAAACAATACAGCAGCTGTGCAATATTGCCCTTTGTCTTTTTGTTTGACAGCAATAATAAATGAATCATTATAGATAGGTTTGTGGAATTTTGTATAGAGTTATATTATAAATGTACCCTACAAACTCTGCATGCGATATTTATATGTCATAAATTACAAACAGTAACAGTGTGAAATTTTAAGGTTTTACTATGCACAGAAATACTATATCAGTATGAGTATAATTAATTAGCGATTTGTAGATCTTTTTAGTCTGACCATGTGGACTGAAACATTCAAGTAATGCAGGTGTTGTAAGTTCATCTGAGAACTTACCATTTTTGGGATCAGTTGTTAGGTTTACAATAATCAGATTGTATGTAAACAAAGTGACAGAAGGTTGGAGAAAACTGTATAATGAGGAGCTTCATAATTTGTACTCTTCTCCAAGTATAATTAGAATGATCAAGTCAAAGAGGATGAGGTGGGCAGGTCATGTAGCACGAATGGGGGAGGCAAGGAATGCATATAGGATATTGGTGGGAAAGCCAGAAGGAAAGAGACCACAGGTAAGACCAAGGCCTAGGTGGGTGGACAATATTAGAATGGATCTTAGAGAGATAGAATGGGATGGTATTGACTGGATAGATCTGACTCAGGATAGGGACCAGTGGAGGGCTCTTGTGAACACGGTAATGAACCTTTGGGTTCCATAAAATGCTGGGAAATTCTTGAGTAGCTGCAGAATGGGCGGCTCCTCCAGAAGGGCTCTGCTCCATGAGTAAGTAAGTAAGTATGTTAACAACAAGACCACTCCAGTGGTCAGCACAGTCATCTTGGATTCATTCTTTCTTAATGAATCATAGGAGATTAATGATTTTCTGTGAGTGAATCATGAAATCTAGTTAAAAATATGGCTGAAGAATTTGGAGACAGCAGGACTTTGACACCTCCAAGTCAGTCACTGTTGACCTAGGTTAATTGGAAGATGGGTGACCACTTGAGTTTGGGTTGGCTAGTGATTAGACAGTTGAGGCTAGACTGTATTACAGCTGCATGTATGAGGATGTTATCATGATTTTAGTGACGACAGACGTGGTTTGGATTGTTAATCAGATTTCTTGAACTCTTAAAAATCATAAGTACAAGTAAGGATTATGCTGTCACTATTCTGCATACTTCACATATCACTGTATCACCATATCACCATGTCTTCTGAGGCTTTCTTTATTGGAAGCCATCACAACACAACAATTAATAATATATGTTTGTAGTTTCAAGTAGTACTTTACTACATGTTTTGGCTTTCAAGAAGCCATCATCAGATAAATACACTTAAAAACTTCTTTAGCTATTGAATTGCATGCTAATTACATGATGTAGTATTAGATTTTTCAAATAGTATACAATAATATAAAATATAAAATTACAATGAAAGTAAAAGTTGTACATATTATTATATTTAAAAGTAGGTAGTTGTGATCATAATAATATGTGATGGTGCTTATGCGGACATGTATACACAGACAGATGTTATGGTGCTTGGAGGTTGCTTGCTATATTGTAAGTTATTATTTAATTTGATTGCTATTTGATGGGTGCCTCCATTTATGTGTATATATCTGATCTGCTGAGGAGATGGATTACAATTGATTTGGAATGTATGTTGTTATGAGTACTGTGTAGGTGGGTGGGGGCGGGGGAACAAGGGTTGTAGTGGATGTAGGATGGAGGTAAAATTGTTGTTTATGCTTGGTAGGCTGTGTCATATATTGGGTTAAATGTTTTGGTAAGATTTTCGTTCAGTTGGATATTTTGCTTGCTGATTTCATATATATGAAATCTTTCATGAGTATCCAACATTCGTCCCGACTTTCCAATGTACAAGATTTCCATAATTTTATCTATAGTTCAGTATTCGTGTGTATATGTTGGGTGAATTTGGAATTTTGTCCACCATTCCTTATGTCCTATTATTCTTTTATATGCTCGCCCAGTTTGTCATATATAGTATTTTTGTGGACACTTTGTACATTGTAATTGGTAAACTTATCTTAAACTTAACATTCATATTTTTATGTATTCTCAATTAGTGTTTGATATTGTTCCTAGTTATAAATGAGATACCAGCTTCAGTATTCTTATATAGTTTAGTAATTGTTCTAATTTCAAATCCAAAAAAGGTAAAATGGCAATACCTTTATCTGATTTTGCTGTCATTGATTGATTATTGATTAATTTCTGTTTGAAATTACAAACATATATTATTAATTGTTGTGTTGTGTTGGAAAAATCATAGACAAATTGAAAACAACTAACTCATATGGTTATGATGAGATCCCTATCAAAATACTAAAAAGTTGTAAACATTTTATTACTTCACCTTTAACTTATATAATTAATAGATCGTTAGTTACTGGTATATTCCCTGATAGACTCAAATTTTCTGAGATAAAACCTATATACAAGAATGGTGATAAAAATCTTATCAGTAACTATAGACCCATATCATTATTGGCTTCTTTCTCTAAGATATTTGAAAGAGTGCTGTTTGCAAGACTTTGTCATCATCTGACTAATAATAACGTGTTGGCAAGCGAACAGTTTGGATTTCGATCTGATTCTTCCACTGAAAAGGCTATCAATAGACTGTTTGACCAGATTTTAAGTGCCCTAAATGTTGGTCAAAATGTGGGCGTAATATTTTGCGACTTGAGGAAAGCGTTTGTTGTGTGAATCACAAGATCTTATTGTCTAAATTGGAATTTTATGGCATTACAGGACCGATGCATAAAATAATAGCATCATATCTTAGAGGAAGATTTCAAAGAATAAGACTACAAGCTAAAGACTGTAATTTGAATATTCGTTCTAGTTGGGGTGTAATCTCACATGGTGTCCCACAGGGATCAATTTTGGGACCCCTTTTGTTTTTGATTTATATTAATGATTTACCCTTAGTATTAAATAGGATTTCTTCTCCTATTCTTTATGCAGATGATACTAGCGTAATTATATGTAATCCGGATCCTCTAAATTTTCTTCACAATGTGACTGAAGTTTTCAATAAATTAAATTCATGGTTCAATGCCAATTTATTATCTTTAAATTTTTCTAAAACCGAATTCATTAAGTTCAAAACAAAGAATATATACGAGCACGCTACTAAGATAGTATATGATGATATGGAAATTTCTAATTCATCCCATATAAAGTTTTTGGGAGTTAACATTGTAAACACATTATCTTGGAAAACTCATATTGACTTACTCATCCCAAAACTTAGCTCTGCATGTTATGCAATCAGAGCTATTAAACCATATGTAAATCAGGAAACCTTGTTGATGGTTTACTATGCTTATTTTCATTCANTCCTTATACATTTATTCACTTTTATGCTTTGTGGTACTTAACATGGATCAATATCAATTTGTATCTGATGTACATAACAGAGACACTAGACAAGGTTTTAACCTTAATCTTTATCAACCTTCAACTCATTTATCATTATACCAGAGAGGCTCGTATTATATGGGCATTAAATTATTCAATAGTCTTCCATTAAACCTGAAACAATTATACAGAGATGTCAAACAATTTAAATTAAAGATAAAGGAATTTTTATATAATCACTCATTTTATACCTTGGAAGAGTATTTTGTGTATTTTAATTGAAGGGTAATTTTGACACTGATCATACTCATGAGTTTTAGTTGTATTATTTATCTATAAGTGTACATTGACTTAGTACTTTTGTACTGTTTATTTATTTAATTTTATTATTTGTATTTTATTTATTATACTTTGGAAGAGAATTCTGAGTATCTTTAAGATGTAGTATTAATCTGATAAGGTCATATTCATATATTTTGTACAAAGGTGTTAACAGTTTTAAATTGAATCTGAAGAATTCTAGTCTTGTTACTCATTTTATGTATTGGAAGAGTATTTTGTGAATTTTAATAGGAAAAGTAAACTTAATGCTGGTTATTTTCTTGGGTTTTAGTTGTATTATTTTATTATATCTGTATGATTATCATTTTGTGCTGTATTTATTGTTGTTTCTTTTATATATTTGAGGTGTGTTTTGGGTATTTTTGATAGGAAGGGTTGAATTGATACTCGTTATGCTTTTTATGATCTCAGTAGTATTATTTAACATATATGTATATTGACTTGGTACCTTGTACTGTTTTTATTTATGTGTTTTGTTTGACTTTTCCACATCCTCTGAATGTATTTCTAGTATTGGATTTATGGAAATAAAGACTACTACTACTACTAGCCTTCAATAAAGAAATATATAATGCACAACAGGATGCATTCACTGAAAATCTTCTCAGTCTCTTACAGTCTTCACTAGCCATTGCTTGATAGTGTCTTCAATGGCAGACATTCCCCTTCCTCTCTATTCAAATCTGTCCCTGGCCTTGGCTACCATCTTCTGGCAGCAATAGCTCACAATAACTGAACCCCAGCAGTTACCTAATTGACTGCTACAGCTGACTGGTTCTGCTTATAACATCTTGGCATGGATTGCATAGAAAACACCGTTCCTCTGTTGCAGTGCAATTATTGCTTAGTGATGGCATGACATTCCATTGTTGTGTGTGTGTGGCTATCAGCACGGACTGCGCAGAAAACACATTCCTCTGTTGGTGTGTACATGTGGCTGCCTATTAATGGCCAGCTGTTGTGACTCCACAGTTCTTGCTTAGAGCAAGTATACCACAATATGTATCTATCACTTTATCCCATAAGTCAGGTCCTCAGGGACAGTCTGAAAAATCAGAACTTAATTTCCACATTGATGTACCCGATCACTCCAGAAGACTTTATTGCATTTGGCCACCATGCAGATTTAGAGTGTATTTGTATTAAGACACAGTCTAACATAGTCCCATCATCTATACCATGGTCTTCTAAGTAGATTGCATGAAGTTTTCCACTAAAATTATTTTATCCTTCGCTTATATCTCCCATATATTTTGCATGCCCAGAGAAACGAATGAATAGGAAGTATGTTGCTGGGGCCTAATTTTAATTCCTTTTTACATATACTAGGTAGCTTATTTTTATGCTCTGTAATATTCCTGTGTCATAGGTGGTTCAGTCTTTTCTTGGATGTTAAAACAGATCAGTTGATCAGTCACCTTCATCTAGTTGCCGCATTTGAGGATGCATAATGTGGCTTCCGTGCCCCCAGTATGCCTTTTTGGTGTTAGTTATTGGTTACAGTGATAGCTTGCATAGATATCATATTATATGTTTGGAGCAGAAATAATGGTTTAGTGATTTTAAGGAAATAAATAACCAAGCAACTTGTAAATGTTTAATTTTTTTTTATTTCATATCAAGTCAGTCACTGCATGAAAGAAGTTTCCTATATTTTTGAGCTGAACCAGATTTTAAATACTACAGCTCATTTATGTATTGTTACATTCCAGTAGCTGATGGCTCCACAGATAGCTGAGATCTTAGGTTGCATGATAAGAGAATATTAGTACGAGAAATAGGGACAAAAAAGGAAATTTGTAAGAGAAACAAGTTGCTTGATCATTTTGGAAGGTATACTCTATAGGAGAGGAGGTTTCTAAATACAAGAAAAGACTTTGCAAGATGTTAGTCTTTCAAATGATCTACAGTGACGAAATAAATCAATCAATCAATCAATCAGACAGTACAAGATATATAGCAATGTGAGTACTGAATATATCAATAAAATATGCCAAATAGATTGCATGTTATGTTGGTTTAAGTAATATGAGTTGCAGAGAATACTGCCTCAAAAGGGCCAGATGGTATAGATTGGCAGGGACTATTTATTACCTGGATGTGAGTGATTATTATGACTTTTGCTTGTTTGGACAGGCCCAACTTGCCGCAAGGAACAGACAAGAGAGTACTATGCAGAGAATGGTTGCCGGTCACGCAAACCAGTGAAGCTGGCTCGATGTGAAGGCAGTTGTGGGTCAAGTTGCTGCCGTGCGCGTAAAACCAAACGCCGCAAGGTGCGTCTAATCTGCAATGATGGTACACGGTACACCAAAGATGTTAACATAGTGCGCAAGTGTGCATGCACCAAGAAGTGCTACTGACTATCAGGCCCCTCCTATTATAATACACTGCAACACGTTGCTCTCCCACCTACACAACTCGATGGTGATGCCTCACACCCAAATGTGGTGGCAACAGCCACGGACTCTGATGGCTACGGCTTCTGTTTCATAAAGATTGGCATGTTTTATTTTGTAAATATTTCAATCTTCAGTGCGCTATTTATTATAATCTCATGGTCTCTGTGTATCTGCTTGTTTCTCCTGTTACCATAAAAAATGTATGTTTTTACGAAGCTTCTTCTGTCTCAAAATACCTCAGTGAGATTTAGAGTCAACATTATTTGTAAAATACAGTACACAGAAAGTATTTGAGGGCATGAAACCCAAGGACAGTAAAATTAGTCTTTAGGTAATCAGCTTTGAAATTATTGCTTTGACAGATCAGCATTGCATTTTGTTTCCTGAACTCTACAACTGTCGTGATCCTGCACTTCTCTGTATGAGGGCATTTTTAACATTTTAATTGCTATGTTATTATGATCTGTGGTTCCTAAACCATGCTGAAAAAATTTCATTGATGCCTTGACATTCGTTACATGAGGAATTATCATATATTTATATTTATGAAAACAATCACCAGAATCTATTTCCTGAAGGGATTCTAGAATATCTTCAAGTAGAATAAATTGCTTATGCTTCACAGATGCCATGATGATGGAAATAGGTTGATGAAAGCAGATGTTTGGTACAATTATTTATTTATTTAAAATATTGTGTTCAAAATGTGAAATATTATCAAAACTATTCCCTAAGGATACAGAAATTCATGTATGAATTTAGAAGAGCACTAAATATATACACTTCATACAATAAGGTTGCAAAATTTAAATTGATTCTACTCAGTCACAGCACTTGAGAATCATGTTGACAGTAATGAGTATTCTCAGAGTCACTGCACCAAAGAGGTTAAGTATGTTGATTCTGAATTGTGTTCTTCCATGTACTATATATCACACCATCATGTGGTATTTTCTTAGTTGCCATGTGCAGGAATTCTTTGGAAATATTTATCAGCACAGATCAGTTACAAAGATTTATGGAATGTTCTTTTTTGACTGTCATCCAAAATGACAGCCCATCTCAGTTACTATGTTCATGGCCTAAAGACTTAATATGATCTCTGGTATTACCCATTTCTACTAGAGAACCTGACATTTTATAAACATTTATAAATATCGCAAAGTCTCGTCAGTGTGTCCACTATTATGTTTGCACATTCATAATGCTATGATTTTATGGTCATACCATAATACTAAAAAATACATACATTGTTATTGGCACATCTATTTTGTCATTTTTATTTTTAGTTCTATGAAAATCATGCTAATGATGTTTAACTATGAATTTTTTAAATCAGGAACATTATTTGTTCACACAGTCAAAGGGGCACATGACAGCATAGTCGGCTGAGGCACTATGCTACAAGCTGGAAGGTCAGGGGTTCAATTCCTGATGAGGTAATTGGATTTTTTAACTGCCTTAATCCTTCCAGCCACATTATAGCCCTGGCGTCGACTCAGCCACTAACAGAAATGAGCATCAGGAGTTTTCCTGGGGGTTAAAGGGTAGCTGGCACTTAAGGCTGACAACCTCACTGCCCCTTGTGAGCCAATTATCTAGAAAATTTGGGAGCTTTGACATCCCACAACGCTATGGGCCTCCATGGCCTGTTACAGGGATAACTTAGTTTAGCATATAGTCAGATATATTTCATAACATCACCCTGGCAGTCAAAGGGTTAGTAAAATTGTAAGTAGTTGCTCTCTGACATTTTGAATGCTATTGAAATAAAAACTAATAGTAAAATATTTATGTTAAACTTCTGACTTATCACACTAATGAAAGTTAATTTTCTTTAAGTTTAATGTGAAATGTATGTTTTATAGAGTGTATAAATTCAGATTAGCATAATAATGTGTAAACAGGACAGAAGGAGCTCCATAACACACTTGCATACGTTCTGTTTACGACCTGTAACACAGTGCAAATCCAAGACCATCGAGAATAGTGTATCTGTCTTTTTCCCCCATGGATTTGCAACTCTGTTGCAATCTGAGCAGAGATGGGAGGGGCCTTGATTTGAAGCAAAAATGAATGGAGCTAATCATCACTCCTTCTGAAGACAGAAGGCAGTGTTTGTATATAACACGGCTGGATTGCCTCAAAGAACCAGGGCCTAACTTAGCCCCTGTAATTCATAGTATCTCCTGTGTCAAAATGCTTTTGTTAAGTTGACTCTTGTCATTTTTATGCTACTTCATCCATCTTCTGGAAAGAAACTCATCGTGTTGTGCATATTGTGTTCTCGTTTTTTATTTTTTTTTTAAATGGACACTATTGTGTTTATGTAAACACTTACTTGTGAAATGTCATCCTTCAGTATATACATAAAACCCTTCATTAATATTGTTACATAAACATGCAGTACCATATTTTTAATGGCACTCACTTCTGACAAGAAAACTTTGAATGTGACCATATTTATTAATTCCTATATATATATAAATAAATAAATGGAACAGTATATTTGAGTGTAAATAACTGCAAATTGTGTAGACAGTTAGATTTATAAGAGTACCTTGATGTGTTTACCTGACAGAGCTCTTAGCAACATCTGTAGATACTTCGGTGATTTATATTCATACACAGGTAGAGACATTTGTGTTCCACAGGTTACCCAGACTGTGCTTTTTGATAATATTTGTGTAATAGTGATTGGAGCAGAGATTGTTATGATACTGCCAATCTGAAGGGCATCTCGGCCAAGACTGGAATCAAGTGTGGAATGTGTCTGTTCACAGATGAGGTGGCTCTAGGTTGCTTTCATCCCTACAATATTTCTCCCTTCTCCCTCCCCTGCTTGAGCTGGATGCCCCTGGTAATGAGCCAATACATTTGTAATGTGTACAAAATAAATTATACTTAAAGTAGTGTGTTATAATAATGAGCTGTTTTCTTTATTTTATTCATCTTCATCTCCAGCCTGGAGTATTAATTACATAGAGAAATTCATTCATGAAACTCTTTCGAGGAAGACACAAAGGAGCTTTTCTGAACAATAAATTATACAATGTATTGAATTAGAAATGTCTGTTGTTTAAAATTGAGACAATGGAGTAGTTTCACTACTGTCATTTAAAAACCTTGGTCAGTGGAACTTGCAGACAGAGTGGCCACTGCAGAGTTTCAGATTCAGCAGAAAGTTCATTATGAATTCTGCTATTCATGTACCCACAGAAATATAGTATATGTACTCACAGTACATATCAAATGCTCAACTAATGCAACAGGATGCTCAAATACAATACAGCAGACCCTTGTTATAATGGACTTATAGGGGGGACAGGATTTCTGTTATTGCCATTCTCTGCTATAATTGAATGAAGGCATATTCACAAAAGTACACCATAGGATACATACCCAGTACACACAATAAACATGGAAACACACAGTGTGATTATATATAGGTTTTTATATTGGAATTATTTTTTATTTTAGATAGTTTTCTAACTACAAAACCTTCTCAGTGCCTCATCATCTTTAAACATTCACAGTTGTACACAGCCATATTTTGTCCATTATATCTAAAATCTGCTATGACTGGGTCTGTTATAATGAGTGTTTACTGTATTAGCAACATATTTAAATGAGAGTAACAAAACTGCACTCTGTATGATAGTTGCATAATTACTGAAAGTTTAACATAACTCTGTGGTTAAATCTTTGCTAGAGACAAGAGCCCCTCTGTGTCACTTCCAGCACTGTTTTGTTAATGAACCCACTGATACTGTTAATACACAGATTTGTTTTTGCATCAGCTATTACTGACAATATTTCCTTCTTCTGTTGTGTACAATGTTCATATTATGCTTGATTTTATTCCAGTGTGTGCTGATACCAGTTATAACACACAATGTCATCTGACTGTGTCAGAGGTATGATCCACTCTTGAACTCTTGGTGATATCATAAATTTAACACAGTGGTCTGAGGAGGCAAATAAGGATAAGATAGCAGATTTTTCCTCCATTTTGAATAGACTATTCAAACATTTATCTGGCAAAATTGTGGAATACCGTAAAAGTTTTTGGTAGCGATTTCTTGGTAGTGAGCAAAGTATGAACTTGGTACCAGCTACATGATTCACTCTGTACTGATTAAAATGATTTATTTATATTGGCTATTCAGTAGCAGGTTTTCAACTTCACACTACTTTGTATTAATTTAGACTCATAATGAAATATTAGATTTTTCTTGCAATAATAAACAGTTTAGTTTATTTTAAATCATTTGTACATGTTGCTTTTAGCCTACTTCCCTTATGTTATAAGTGCAAGCTTATTTTATCATCATGTCCATATCCATATACCCCTCATAATAGTCGAAACAACAGACAGATTTTCATAAAACTTGCTGTAAACATCATGCCATTAAAAACTATTACATCTTTATAATTTATAATTTGTTGCTATTAACAATGTCAACATGGCGGCCATGCTAACTTCTTATGTGGCTGAAACTCTAGTGCTACATTTTTAAGTTATGGGACTTTTCGGCATTATTATTTTAATTTATTTAAGGAAAATTCTGATAAAATTCTGTAAAATTCTGATATTTGGAGTCATGAAAGAACTTCACAGAATAAGGTGCATTTATTATTTTAGAAAATATTAGATGGCAACATGTCAGCCATGTAAAATGTACCTTTAGGTCTGTGTTTGTAGCAGATAGTTGAAGAACCATTGAAGCTCTGCAATTTACATTTTATATGGAGATGGAATTTAATGAAATTTCTGTTTAAAAAATGGCAATATTTCATATCTTCATGGTTAGGTATGGCAAGTTTAACATAGTCAGAATCTGCACTAGTGGAAATTATGTACAGAAATTGATCATTAAATGCTGTAATTCTTAATTTATATATCTTTCTAGGTTCATCATTTAGATTGAAATATTTTAAGGAAATAGACACATAATCTCTTATCAGAACTTGTTTCATTTGTAGGCAGTATTTGAACACACAGTCTGCAAGTAAGTGTTGGTTCACATCCCATTCAAATTCTTCTAACACTACAGAATGCTAAAGTGGCATGTCCTGATTCCAGAGGTAAAATACTCCTCAATTTCAGCCAAAGACTTTCCATCTGTTTCTGGCATTTTCCAATACAGGAAAGCAACTCCAATGGAATTGATGAAACAGAACAGCCAGAATGCTCCATACAGTTTCAGATTCTGCTCTAGGTGTAGGTATGATATGGAGGCTGTAAACATGAACACATAGCAGATTGCAGATGACAGTCCACTTGCAATCCCACGGGTTCTGCAAAGAAATGGAAGTTACTTTGGTAGGACAGAAGCAATTGATACAAATATATCTGGCTATATTATATATTAGAGGAATAGTCAAGCATATTTTACTCTGCAATATATTCTAAAATCCTTTAAACACATGATGTGCTTTGATGATAATTGCCTTCTCCCAATCTGAACTTAAGGCAGTTTAAATTAACGTTGCATTAATGTTATTTCACAGAAGATACCTCCGTTTTAGTTCTCTTATATACAGTTTATTGGGGCATGAAGTAGCATAATTGGTTTAGGCACTATGCTACAAGCTGGAAGGTCATGGGTTCGAATCCTGATGAGGTCTTTTAATTTTTCAATTGACCTAATCCTTCCAGCTGCATTATGGGGTTGCCTCAGCCTCTAACAGAAATGAGTACCAGGAATCTTCATGGGAGGTAAAGGATGGCTGGCATGTAAGACTGACAACCTCACCGCTATCTGTGACCGATTGTCTAGAAAATGTGGGAATCTTGAAGTCTCAGAACCCTATGGGCCTCCACACACACTGTTACAAGGACAGCTTTACCTTTTTTGTGTACAATTTATTATTGATTAAAATGCCAATAATGTTCATTTAATGTTATATACAATTACTGATCTCTTGAAGTTGCTAACAAACTTGCCAATAAACTAATTAAGTGGGAAGTTTAACCCATGTGGTGATTTTCTAAGTAAATATCTAACTGAGCAGTTCATTCATTCATTACATTACATTTCATTGCATTCCATGGATCCAAAGTAACTCAAAATGACTGTAGGATGAGGAATATGTCATATAAATACAAAACATATGTACAGACCCAATGGAGTTCTCACACAAGAGAAACCAAGAATACACAGTTACTACACACAAGGCTATTTAAAGACACATAAGTTATTATCTAGACCAGGCATGTCAAACTCAACTTGTACACAGGGCCACCTCAGCCCTATAAATAATAGTCCAGGGCCTCACTTCAAAATAGAAATATCATCATCATCATCATCAGTAATCTGTCAAGACGACAGGTCCACAGTCTCTTTCAAAACAATTCCTCCACTTAATGCGATCTAGAGCTTTCTCCTTCAAATGACAGTATCCTCTTCTGTCCCCAAGGTCATCCAGCATCTTCTTACGTCTTCTTCCTCGTCTTCTTGTCACTTCTATCCGCCCATCTATCTTTCCTTCGATAGCTTCTTTTAGAAGGCAGTTTCTGCGTAAAACATGACCAATCCAATTAGCCTTCCGTTTTCTTATTTCATGTAGGATATTCCTCTGCTCACTGACTCTAATTAACACTTCTTCATTTCTCACATAATCGGTCCAACTGATCTTCTCCAT